GGGGGGGGTGGTGAGAGAGAGAGAGAGAGGAGAAACGAACTGCTGCTTAGATTGAAAACGCCAGGTTTTGATAGTCAGTCATTACCGAATAAATATGCGATATATCGTGTGCAGCCTGTCAGTTTCTATAGGCATCTTCTTGACGTACGGAAACACACGAAGACACAGCACGCGTGGGCTGACTCGACTACTGCGCTTAAAATCGTACAGACACTCCGACTAACCGCAGATCTATGCGGCACCACAGGAGCAGTTGCCATCTATTAGACCAGTCATTCCATATATGACCTTTTTGACAAGCAGCCTTCCTATATGAAGGATGACAGATCTACTTTGGCCCCGCAAATGCTGCCAAGGATTTTTTTCGAGAGATAGGACTGGTTCTGGCCTCCGCGCCAGAACACTGGCGACTTTTTGACCTCGGTCACGAATCCACTGGAGAGACAGCCGCGTTCTGAGATGGAGAGAAGGGTGCCACGTACGTTTGAAGCGTACGAGGACGAGGCTGTTGGCAGCTTCGTCCACGTCAAGGACTTTGGCGCCACCGGTGACGGAACGACCGACGACACAGAAGCGTTCCAAGCAGCGCTCTGGGGCAGCTCAGGCAAGATCCTGTTTGTGGATGATGGCTCGTATCTGCTGACGTCGACCGTTACAGTGCCCCTTGGCACCAAGATGGTGGGCGAGACTTGTTCACAGCTCGTAGCGTATGGCTCGTACTTCAGCGACGCCAGCAACCCCAATGTCATGCTCAAGGTTGGTGACGCCGGCGAAGTCGGTGACATCGAGTCATCTCGAAAACATTCGTGCATTAATGTTAGCAATGCGCCAATGATGCTGACTGAGCTTGCAAACAGTCAAGCTTCGGAAGTGTATTAGGTCTAAGGACTAGGGCCGTGTTACGAATATGCACCCTTGCATAAAGACAAACAAATGTGTTGGCGCTTAAGGAAAAAAGGGAGGGGCCTAGCACCGAAAGCCGGAAATAGGTTAAAATAAAGAACCATTATCCTCGATAGCTATTATTAGTTATTTAATAAAATTATAATTTTAGCAATAATCCAGGCAGATAAATTATTAAAATTATTAAATTTTATTAACTTTAAAGTAATAAAATAGGTTTAGCATTATAATTTAAGGAATATTAATAAAAAATAAATAAATATATATTATAAATAAATTTTTTATATAAATAATTATTATTTTAATAATTATTTTAAGCATTTATTTTATTTATAAATAAAGTATTTAATACGCTTTAAACGATTATATTTATAAATTAATTAATTTAGTTATATTTATTTTTTATTTAATATATATTTGCATTTTATCTTTATTAGCATAAACCCCTAACACCCTTTATATTTTAGGTTTATCTTAAAAACCCGTAATATAATCGTTATATCGAAATATCGTTAAATAATAATATATGGGAAATTAGTGGAATTTACCTTATATTAATTTATAATTAATATAACACTATTTATAACTATTATTTATAATGTTATATAATTAATAAATTATTATAATTATTAAATTAAAGGATCCTCCGATTTTAAGCGAAAGTTCTTTAATATTAATTAAATAAATTAAAGCTCGATGTTGCAAATATGCCCCTTTGCACAAAAATAAATAATGTGTTAGCGCTTAAGGAAAAAAGGAGGGGCTTAGCACCGAGGACCGGGAATAAGTTATGCTAAAAGTGGATACTCTCGCCAGCTGTTATTAGCCGTTAACAGGATCACTTCTCCGATAAATGATTTATACGCATTAAATTATTAATATAACGATTATATTACGAGTTTTTAAATAAACCTTATATATAAAGGTATTAAGGTTTATGCTAATAAAGAGCGTTAAATAAGATATTAAATTAAGCAAAGAGTAACTAAATATAATTTTAACTAATATTATAAATATAATTATTAAAACGTATTAAATGCTTTATTTATAAATAAAATAAATATTTAGATTAATTACTAAAGTAATAATTATTATCAGATGGTGGATTATGGTTCCCATACACTGGGGTGTGCTTAAGCACACGGATTAACCCTATAATATTCAGATAAATATACGGGACCTCCTGGGGATTAGCCGGGGCCACCTAAATAAACATACACCTTATCAAAACTAAAAAGCGTAAAATATAAATTAATATATTATATAATTAACACCTATACTAAACTAATTTAAACTCTAATAAAAAAGCATTACCTTAATTAATAATTAAAAATCTTAATGCCTCCGCCGAAGCTATAAAAATAATAACTATAAAAAAAGCCGGAATCGGCCTAACGGCATTATTAAAAACAATTTCCAACTAAAACAATTAGGAATATGCGTTCTAAATCTAAGCATAAATTACCGGACTAACTAATTACCTTAAAAATAAAACGACTTTAATTAAAACCCTAATCGAACCAAATATAAAAAAAACTAAATATATAAAAACCGCGGCTACTACCCTTAAAGCTGCAAATATAAACAACGATCCGATTATATAAAATAAAAAGGACAGGGAATAAACGATTACGGATCTTATTAAAAAAAATTAAAAATTATTTAACCTTAATTATAATTATTATAAAATAAAAAAGGCTATATACGCTAAATAATATACGGCGATTAAAAAAATTATAAAATAAATAATTATAATAATTTTTTTAAACTTTTTTTTTATATATTACTTAATTAATAAGCCTTTATATAAATAATATAAAAATTTAAAGGCTCGCTATAATAAATTAGCTATAAATAACAAAAAAAAAATAAAAAAATAATATTTAAAAGCTTTTAAGCCTCCGAAAATATTAAAAAAAACTGCTAATTAGGTTAATAAATAAAAAATAATTATAGCAAAAGCTTAGGTAAAATAAATAATTAAAATATAAAATAATTCGGCTTAAGCTATAAATTTCTTAAATATAATTATTTTAATTATGCTATAATAAGCCGCCTCCTATTAAATTTATAAAAAATAAAGCATTTTAAATAAAAATTTAAAATATCAGGTAATAAATAACAACTTCCGTAAAAGCTTAAGCATTTAATAGCCGATTAAGCCAAAAATTAGGAAAAGCGCTTTCGTAACTTATATTAATAAAGCTAAAAAATAGCCCTAAAATAAATAAAATAAAAACGTTTACCCTATTAAAAATTAAATATTTCCCCAATTAAATACGGCTAATTTACGTAAAGGAAAAAATAAACGAATTACCTATAATAAAAAATAAAAAAATATTAAATACCCTATTTGCTATTTTCCTTACGCTTTTAATTTATATTTTTACGTATTTTTAAAAAAAGCCTATTTAGGTTTCGTCCCTAAAAATAAAATATAAATACGAATAAATAAGGCTTTTAAAAAAAACCCTAACCTATAAAAATAGGTTTATAATATAAAAAGGATTAAAACTAGCCGAATTAATATATTACGAATAACTAAAGAAAAATCGCTTCCGATTAATATAAATTAATAAAATAGACAACTAATAGCAAATATATAAAATAATTTTATAATATTTATAAAAAACTACCCTTTACGCCATTTAATTATCCTAGATTTAGCGATAATAATTTTAATTATAAATATAAAAAAAAGGCTTATTAATTATAAATAAGCTTTTAATTACAACTTTATTTAGTTAAGCGACCGGAAATTATTTATTTATAAATACGGCATAATAATTATATAACTCGGATCTAAAATATTATTATTAAATAATATAGCTTATTATCCTAAATTACTAATTATATTAATATTATTCCGTTAATTATAAAAATAAGGATACTATTAAAATAATAAAAACGACCTTATAATATTATATAAAAGAAATAAATCTTTAATTAATATATTTTAAAACCGATATAAATAATACGTCCTCAAATATAAACCTTATAAATTACTTTTAGCGTTATTTGCTATTTACTAAAAAAAATATATAATATAAATAAAAAGGCTATTATTAATTAAGGAAATTATACAATAATATTATAAAATAAGATATTTAGGCCCGGTAGCTTTCAAATACTTTATTTATTTATTTTAAAAGGTGAAAATTAAAGGATTAATTATAATAAAATATAAAGCTTACGCATTTACAAAAATTACGCGCTAATTACGGCGAACGCTATAGCTAATTAATAAAAATTATAGCGAACAATTAATTATAAATTTTTATAATTATACTAAAAAAATCGAAAATTATATATCCTAAATGCTAATTATTTATCGGCAAACGGGATATATATAAAATTATTATTTTACGGAAAGGATTACGGTTATATTAATTAACGTTTTCCAATCGTTCCTAAATATAATAAAAACCTAATATAATATTAAAATTAAAATTATCGAATACGATAACAAAATTATAAAAATTAAATAAATAATAAAAAAATACTTCGAAAATAAATATATTAAATTCGAACCTTTAATACTATATATATAAGCCTAAAATAAAGCTACTAAACGCTTAAGGGGTATAATTAAAAAAAAAAACGGGCAATACATACTAGCGCAAAACTCCTTTACCAACTTTAGCCCGAAATCGGCAAAACCGCGGTATATTTATATAATTATACGCTAAATTATAATTCCCGATAACGCATATTATATATAAAATTTTATAAAGCAATTACAAAAATAAAAAGAGTTCTAAATCTAAATTATAAGCCTAATTAAACCTATTTTAAAATATTCGGATATAAAACGTATATAATAACGCTAATAATATAATAAAAATTCGGCCATTTATAACGATTAGCATTTAAGGTATAAATAGGATACCTAATTAAATATAAGTTATCTAATATTTATAAAATCTAGATTCCTAATTAAAATAAATTAATTAATATAAAAAATATAATTATAAACAAAAAAAAACTATACGACGGAAAATAGGATATATTTAAAAACGAGCTTTTAAATATTAATACCTAATTTATCGCCGATTTCATAACTAATTACGTAATATCTAAAAACGAAATCCTATAAAAATTAAAAAGTAAAAATACCGCCGTAAAAAACATCTTATTAAGCAATAATTAAAATAATTAAAAAAAAATAATAACTAAAAAAATAAAAAAACAGCGCTAAATAAAAAAAATAAATAATACCTTTTTATTACCGCGAAATTTACCTTTTAAATTTTATTATAAATACTTTTATTAGCCTTATTAATATATAATATAAAAGCGATTATAATTAAAAATATAGCGCTATTAAAAAAAAAACCTAAAATAATCCTATAATAAATAGCTTTTTTAGCTGGTTATAAAGCCGTTCCTAAAATAAGATAAAGCAATAATTAAAACGATAAAGCAAAGCTAAAACGCTCTTTTTATTAAAAGGTAAAAATTTATAAAGCGGAAATCCTAGCTCCCCCTAAATAGCATTATAAATTATATTATTATCCGTTTAGCAAATTATTTTTTTAAATAAAAGCTAATTATTTATAAAATTACAAAAATATACAATTTTAAACCGAAATTAATAAAAAAAATTTATAAATAAAAAACAAATAAATTTTTAATTATATATAAATATACGTATATAAATTCGATAAATATAAAAAATTCTAAAAATATAAAGCAAAATTCGTTATTTGCGGTAATTAATAAGCGAAATCCTAAAACTAAAAAATTTACGCGGCTATATTAGCTAAAAGATTATTTCGCACCCTAATCGCGATCGCAGCGAAATTCAACCTTAAACTAATATAATACAATATAATAAATACGTTTATATACGCTTTTATTAATTAAAATATATTTATAAAAATGCCGGATAAATATCGAAAAAAAAAACGCTATATTATTATTAAATAAAGCATTTTATAAATTACGGATATTACCGCTATTATAGCAAAAAAAAT